AGGACGAATAAGCGCCCGGGCGCTTCCTCAAAATCATCGGCCGAAAAAAGGGGAGCTTTTCGGAATGAGGGTACTTCATAGGAGTGGTAACTTATTAACAAACTATTAGCCTGTACTGATTCAGAAGTAGTTGAAGCTTAAAAAGTTATAGATAAAGTGGCAATAGCAACAGGTTTTATTTTTATTTCAGAAGCGAGGAGGAGAGGGGGGGGGATGTATTATAAACTAGTACTGAACGTTTTTTTAAAAAGGAGTGTTTTGAGTTCTTTCTTAGTAGTAGCTAGGCTGCTACAGGATCTGATTGCTAACGGCAACGAGTACCATAAGGTAGGAGTAGCATGAGCAAAAACACGATCCTTAAGTGTAGAGCAGGTGACCTTGGAAAGAACAGAAGAGATTTTGTAGACTACCGATGAGCATAGTTGGAAGCAGGGTTTAGAGATAACAAATACTAGATTGTTTAACGACTTAAAATCAGAAAAAAGAGAATTTGAATTTGAGCTTTGAACGATACAGGAAGCAAGTGTAGGTCTATGAGAGCCGGTGTAATGTATTCAAATTTCAGACATACATACATACATACATACATACATACATAGACTTTATTTACCTCGAGTTTAAGAGAAGCTGTAAGCCAATATCTTCCAGTTATTAAAATGAAGTAAAAGGAATAATCTAAACTAGAATAAATGGATAATACATTAATGATGATTACTACTTACATATTAAGATTATTAAATATTATTATACTGCTAAATTCAGTATAGTTACACAAAGGAGTCATACTGGAGTATTTGGCGCCGAAAGTCTGGAAAATTGGAAGTTCTAAAGGTGTCCGGGAGAGAATTCCTTAAGTTAGCGACTAAGTAAGAGAAAGAGTAAAGGCCATATGTTGTAGTTTTAGGTTTTGGAAGGGACAAGATGTAATTACCACGTAAGTTAGAGGAAGTAGATCTAAACGTAAAAATATCATTTAAATATCCTGGATAGTTAGTAAAAAATAAACTCTTGTACAATATCATGATTAGAAAATTCTGTAGGCGGGGAAAGAGAATTTGTGATAAGTTTTTCCCAAAATAAGCGCTTGGTGTTTAGTTACGTTACCTTTCATAGCGTTATATTTGTACCATTGACTACAAATACATTTTTCCAATATAACTGGATCAGTGTTTGAGCAGTACACTTGGCGGTCATCAGCATATACATTCAGCTTGGCTTGCGTAACATGACAAAACAGATCGTTAATGAAGACATTAAAGAGCATTGGTCCTTGGACACTCCCCTGAGGAACACCTTGTTGAAGTCCTAAACGTAATAACCTTCCTAAATGTAATAAAGTCCTAAATGTAATAACTTTCCTAAATGTTATAAAGTCCTAAATGTAATAACACTTGGTCCTAAATGTAATAAAGTCCTAAACTGTACTTTAAGTTAGACTTTGAGAGATATTTCTTAGGCTGTGCGAAAAGGTTGCAAAATGTTCTTGTTTTCCGCGATGAGCCATCGTCTTGGTATTTGGTGAAGGTATTAGGTTCCTCTTTTCTGTTCTGACAGTGTTTAAAAAGGGACTAACAAGGGACATCGATCAGAAAGCGACAACATGTAGCGATCTTTCTTGTTCTGTCAAGAAAGATGCATCTAAATGGTGGTTAGTCTTGTTGTATATCTACCTTGAAAATCAAGTTTCTTGGCGGCGCACAATGAGACTGATTAGCGCAATGATTTATACATCGGAAATGCGCCAGTACATTACGGAATTCATTCTGAAACTTGTTCTCAGTGTTAGGAAGGCGACTGCGGTTGCGTTCCGACCGAGTCCTTCTATTGTTTTTGAGAAAAAGTAAATGTAGCGTGATGAGCCTTAAGAAGGGAAATTTCCCTTTTTAATGAAGACAATTCATCCTAGCGGTACTACACAATTCGCGCCGGATACTCTGAAATATGACATTGAGAACAAACAGACAGAAATTCAAAGAAAAGAATTATTTTAAAACCTTTCAATCTTAGCACGGGTTTAAAAATGAGCCGTTTGCAAAGCAAAAATTTATTTGAAAAGTAAAAACCAAACGTTTTCGACACTGGGTCACCATCAAGGTAAATAAGCACCGTCCGCTAAATTAGTGTTCCTGATGTTTTGAACGGATTTTTTCGAGGGTAGGGAAGGTATTCTTCAAATAAACAGTATCAGTTGAAATTATGTATTCTATTTATTGTGTTTGATAATTTCCACAAGAGAAAATTAGCCAAAATTGAAAGAAACGACGGTAAATGACTTCGAGTTAAGCTAGATTTTATCCTTAAAGCAAAAAGATTTCGCTCTGATAAGAATCAAGTATGGCTTTTTTATTTTGAAAATCGAGAAAGAGAGCCAGCTGTGTTTTGTGCACAATAAACAGAAGAGGGTCGTTTAAACTTTTTCTTTGTTTTGACTGTCTAGCCCTTCTACTGCTTTCCGCGACTTCGTCGCAGACATTGTCCAAAAGTTACGATCAACCACACAAGTGAGTAAGTCACTGTGCTTTAGAAGCGCAGAGACTGATTGATAGTTGAGCTTAAACAGTAGGATAAAGTATTTGAATAAGTTTTGTGTTTGAAAATTAAAGTCTCTAGTTTTTCTTTTCCCCTCGTTTAATTCCTTTTGGAGACATATAAGTTTTCTTGTATTTCTTTGGCAACAATCGGTTGATTCTTGATGTTTCCGTTGAAAATTTAGCGCGGGGAATTTGGGCGCGGCTGTTTCCTTTTTTTTTCTTAAATTAAATCAGTTAGTAGACCATTAAAAAACGGCTCACACGATTAGTTTTACTCACATCTCAGAGAAAGCAAAAGCACAAATTTGTGCGTGAGTTTTTGGGGATCGGTACATCATTAACAACCTTTGACATAGATAACCCTTTTGAATGTGCTGGTCAGCAGCTTCTTTTCATTTACACCTGTTAAATGT